TATATATATATATATATATATATATACACATACACTACCGCTCAAAAGTTTCAGCTCATTTTATATTTTCAATGATAATTTTATTTTTCACATATAAAATATGAAACTGTTATGGAATAAATATAGAATAATATGATATACTCTCTTTCTTATTTTCAAGCATGAAGATACTTAATAAAGTTGTGAATTGCTAAAAAATAAATTGAAATTACAAGTAAATTTTTCAAATAAATAAATATGATAGAGGTGTATATAAGTTGAAAAAAGATATCGATTTCAAATTTGATGTTGGACATGGATAAATATTTAAGAAAGTGATATATAATATAAATAATATATTCTCATAGATATTAAGCATCAAGTTATACATAAATTTTTAAGATTTAAAAAACTTATCGATAGAATATTAAGAATTTGACTTTTGTTATTAAAGCCCAAGATTAAATTTTGAAAAGTAACAAGTCTAAAAAAGATATACATACTATTTGTCAGTTTTAGTGAATATATGATATAACAAATTAAAAAACAATACAAATGTAATGCAAATGCTGTATAAATATTTTGTTTTTTATATTACAAAATTTCCATAAATGGAGAGTATGCTGAAACTTTTGAGCAGTAGTGTAATTCAAAGATGATTGATGTCATACAAATCATATAATTTGGAATGACTTAAAGCAAGATGGAAGTGACTTACTCCTCCTTAAAAAGATGAAGGATGCCTTTTGTGACTTCAACAAAGGGGTTTCCAGAGATAAAACTTATTTGATCAGGTGAAGTGCAAGCGGCAGCACCAGTTATCTCTGCTGGAGTAGAACTCGCAATATGATTAGAATTTACAAATGATGTCTCTTCAGAATTAGTTCTCGAGAACGAATGAGATTTGCTTGTGCTTTGGTTTGATAATAACGGAGATGTAGTTTCTGTCTTGTTTGTATAAGTCTCAACATTGATATCCCTTGGTTCTCTGCAACCTCTCGTTTTCTTTGCAGCCATTGTACCTTTGATATTATATTTGTTACTTATAATTATCACATCAATATCAATTATTTTATCGTTATCAATTTGTTAGAAGATCATGAAAGAAATTAGGTTTGCCTTTTACAATAATATTCTAACTATATAGAGCAATCGTATCAATACACAGAAACATTAAACATTAAAAATTACTTATAATAATTGATAATTGTAATAAATATTACATTCAAAAATGAAATGTTTATGCTTACTAGTGGTCTCTTCTAATTCCGAATCACAAATCTCGATGCGAATAACGCACAAAGACACTAAGACAGCTGATGAATTCATGCCACAATTAAATTACAACATATTATAATAAACATTTCTTTTTATTTTATTAAGTCATCATATCAATTCGATACATATATATGTATATAACAGATTTTACAAATTAGATTCTGATCCAACCAAGGATTTATGATCCTCTCGAATGAAGTGTCCAACTAATAACCAACAACTTGAAAAGGTTAAGACTTAGAAATCAAACTATCAAACAGCAATCGGTGTTCAATAGGGCACTGGCATTGGGATTGGCTCCGTTCAGCAAAACGTTTATTTTGGAACTGTTGGAAATTTTCTTTGCGTTCTTTCATCTGATTGGTCTATATTTTAGGATCTAACGGAATATACCAATCATATGCAAGAGCTCACTAAGCGCTTAATAAGCAGTTGTTATTTTGAATGCACTCAATCAAAACGGTTTCAAAACTGTTGTATTCTGCAGTGTGCTGAACATAGCTACTTTCAATAAGTAAAACGGTTTAATCTGGTTTAATCCAAATTATTGGAACATTAGAATATTACTCCTTAAAAGTAGCAAATATTTAAATCTATAATAAAGGAGAAAGAAAAGTATTGGTAATCATTTAAAATACGGTCCTTCGATTTTGATAAAAGGCTTATTTGACGCGTTTTTGCACAAAATGACAAAATCTGTAAGAAAAAACGTTAGGACGACCTCGCGAACAGAGATATTAAGCGTTAAAGTTGACGACTATAGAGGTTAGGAAATATGTCATATGACGAGATGCAGCGACATGTATGAACAAATGTTCTGCTTGACAATTTTTACAAACAATTGACGGATTTCCTAACTTCTATAGTCGTCAACTTTAACATTTAATATCTCTGTTCGCGAAACCGTCCTAAAATTTTTTCTTACAGGTTTTTTTATTTTGTGCAAAAACGCGTCGAATGAGCCTAATCTTATCAAAATCGGAGAGAAGGACCGTATTCTAAATAATTACCGCAGTATTAATTATCATTAATATGTATTTGTATTTATTATTTGTATCATTAATATGTATATTGTATTTGTTCCGCAGTTTAAGTGGTTAACAAGAATATCAAGTATGAGTTATTTTAGCGAGTTGCATCAATTATCGAGTAAGTGATATATTTTTACTTTTAAAAAGTAGATGCGATTAAAGAAATTATTGATAAAGGTTCACAATACCACGGTCGCTTCAAATTTTGATAAAAATAGACTCAATCAATGCGTTTCCGTGTAAAAATAAAAATTCTACAAAAAAAAAAGCGTCATTCTGCCCCACAAACCGAGATATTAAGCGTTAAAGTTGACGATTATTGAGATTAGGAAATCTGTCAGTCACGAAATACTGCGATGCAAGCACGTGTCTCAAATTCGTTACTTTAAAACAAATTCTTTGCTCTAAAACACAAATTCATGATTTTGACATAAAAAGATGAAACTATAATGCGATCACGTTGGTGAGTGTTTTATCCAGATGATGTTGCTTGCTTTTTACAGAATTTAAAAAAGATAACTTTTTTCAAAGAATTTTATTTTATTCAGTTTTTTTAAAATTAGAACATTATGAAATTCCTAACAATCGGTCATCAAATTGTTTGTGAGTTATCCATGAAGTATTCATCAGGATTGCTACATAAATTGGAACATATTCCATCATGGTTTTTATGTTTCTGACGATGCTAACTAATTCAAAATGTGAATATAATATTTGAAGATGGCTCAATCTAGGAGCCGAAACATATAATATCTCTGTTTCTATTATGTATGTATTTAGTTCCTATTAAGAATTTTTTTTATTTTACATTTTAAAAAATTAATTCTTTAATATACCCCTTTTTATCGTTATATTGTTATTAAAATTTGAGGTATTGTGAACCTTTACCAAATTATTTAATTAATAAATTTTACAGTTATTGAAAGTATACATTGCGGACATAAAGAACTGTTTAATATAATAAATATCATACTTTTCATGATTTGTTTTTCAGATATTTCCAGTATTTCTGCAATCTCCCAATCCAGTGGCAGATTAATTGATAGAGTAAATTCATCACAAAGTTTGTTAGACAATTATTCCAGTGCTATAAGAAGTAACAATAAGTTTGTAATAACCCAAGAAACAACTGCGATCGAAAAAACAATAAAGTTGTTAGTATTATGCAAAGAAAGTATAAGTGAACATGTTAAAATTAACATTATCTATCAGTGTATAAAGAAAGCATCTTTGAATCCCAAAGATGTTTTTTCTAAAAGCACAGCTAGCAAATTACAAATGTTGCTTTCAATTCATGAACTGGATAAGTATATGCATCTTCCTTCAACAACAAAATATATGCAAGATAAATTGATACTTTTGGGAATTTGTGATTTACCATCATGTCACTTAAATTCCGATGAAAAATTAGAAGTGAAATGCTGCATCGAGACAATGTTACGAGAAATAATACATGATACGATACTGAAGTAAGTGTTTTGTGATTTTTTATATATAAAAAAATTTTAATAAGTATATACTAAGTTCTGTAACAATATTAATTTATATGATAATTAATAAAATACTTTAATATCTATGTGTTGTAAGATATGAAGCCTTAGGAGGAAATATTAAGGAAACGTCAAAGAAAGACTGTAAGACACATAACAAATTCTTAGAATATTACGATATGCCAACAGTGGAATGGAAAAATAAAATTGAGGATTTGATTCTGCAGTATGAAAATGACTTGCTGAAATATATATACTTAATGGACAAGTGGAATAAGCTGAAATATGAAGATATGAACCAAGCATATTTAGAAAAGACAGGCTATTTATTACTGCAGGCACAAGTTGCAGAGTTGCAAGCAAAGATAACAAAACTTTCTTGCACAATCAGAATGTTCAAAGAAACTTCAACTACCGTTGATGCTTTTAAAATGTTACATCAATTAATCGATAAGAAATTAAAAATGGTTACAGATGAAATTCGCCAGAAGGAAGATTTAAAGAAGCTGTACGACAATATGAAGGATACAGAGTATGATCAGGTGTTATTAATCTATTTACAGCTCTGCAATGCGATAAAGAAGAAAAAACATATCTTGGATATGTTGAAATAGTTTTATAAATAAATGGAAGATTTAATAATCAAAACAATAAGTATACATATGTATATATCTAGCTCAAAAGTAAATATATTTTGCATTTACATCTTATTGTATTGAATAAACTCTTAATAAATATTGTATGGCGTAAGTGTTATTAAGTTAATTTGATTTATTAAAATGTATTAATGACTTATCTTAAAACAGAATAACTTTTTATTCGCTATCGGAAACCCTATTTTCATTCTTCAAAACAATAAGAGGTACGTAATTTTTGTCAGCGAGAATTCCATGTTCGATAAGGAATGCTTCCACATCCGATGAATAAAAATCTACTCCCAGATGATCCGTAACATGAATGAAGTTTCCTATTACTTGTCCATTTTTGTACACCAGCAATGTTGGTACACCAAATTTTTTGAATTGTTTGCTGAGACCTGCAATTGAACCTAAAAAAAATTACACAAAATATATGAAAAAAATAATTTGTTACAATATATAAGGTTGGTCAGAAAGTTCGTGCCATTTTTTTTTAGCACAAAATTGTATCTCACATTGTATCTTTGTAAAAAATGAATGAAATTTAAATTAAAAAAAAAAACCAGTTTTGAAGTTTTAAATCTACTTTCGAAAGGTTACTGTGTTTTTTTGAGTTTCTGTGAATTAGTAGTTTTTACATATTATAAGCTATAAAAGATGAACAATTTTCTTCTAACTTTGAGTCTATCATTTGCCCAACAAAATTTGAAAATTTTCGGTTTTCCAAGTGAAAGCTTAATTTTCCCTACAAAATTTTTTTTTTAAATATTCCTAAGATTTTTTTGTTACTAGTTATCACGAATTAAATAAAAGGAACATTTTGACTTTAATTATTCATAACTTCATTAAAAATTATCGTACCGCAATTAAAAAAATGTTTTTTAAGCTAAAACTTTGCTCTATTGAATAGTATAACAACAAATATATTTTATGTATAATTTTGAACTAAAAAAAAACGGTACGAACTTTCTCAATTCAGTATTTGAATTATATGAAATTTTTTTCTGAAATTCTGAAAAATATAAAAAATATTGATATAAAAAATGTAAACATTTTATGCTAAAATTAGCTTCTTTAAAGATGAATAAGAATAAAAGATCTTACTTATAAAGTAAAACTTAAATTATAATTAAAAATATTTTAGTTTATAAATATGTATATATATATATAATATTATATATTTTTTTTATATATATATATATATGTATGTATGTATGTATGTATATAAACTAAAAGATTTGCAATATATATAGCGCACCCTGTGTGCGCGTGCGTGTGCGTGTGTGCGTACGTACAGGGTGGTCCACTTAAATCGACCATTTGAAATATCTCACTTATTTTTGATGATGTAAAAAAGTTTCAAATGAAAGTGGAATGGTTTTGAGGGGGACATATTTTGATCATGTTTTTTTTCTGATAAAGGCGTCAAAAAGATATGAAAGTCACTTTTTAAATGAAATTGTATATCGATCAATAATAATGTGACAGCTATCAGCTGTCAAAAGATTATTTAAAAGAAAAATTCTCAATTTCAAGACCCTGCACAGTGAAAGGAAAAATTCGACCGACGCACTAATTTTTAACCAATTTTAATGTTTTTTTTTTAATTTGCTCGAAATTAAATGCGCTACAAGCCTATTCTGCGTAAATTTTGATTACAGTCCAAATTAAAAAAAAATTACTATTTCAATATTCGTTACCGTGTAATTTTGATTTTTTTCTGTTCACTTTATTGGATCGGCAATTTTTACTTTGGATAATAATCAAAATTTACTTTATTTACATAAAGTGCTGAGAATTTTTTCAAAATTTTTTAATACCGTATTTTCTCGTGATAAAAATAAGAAAATGCAGTACTAAAAAGTTGATAAAAAATTCTGAAAAAATTATTTTTAAAATTCTATGAGAAGAAAATAAATGATTTTTATCCCTTGCAGTTTTTCTGTATAGTAGATAGTATTTTAAAAAATTATTCAAGATCAATATTTGGCAATTTTTAGTATTTCAATTAATATCTTGTTAACTATTGCGAAAATCGCAAAATGGTAGAGGCTTTTTCGATTCAGTTTAATCTCTATCTACACAAAAGCGATTGGCGGAACTTATGGAACACCCTGTACATATACACTATATAATTATATATATATACATGTATATAGTGTTTAGCATAACGATCCGCATGATTTTTAAGATACTTCTAACAGTTAAAAAATAAATTTAAAAGATGAATATTCATTCGTTTTGTATAGGCTGCAACATATAAAAAAAGAATTTAAAAAATACAAAATTTTAAATGTTAATCGGGCTCTCGAAATTAAAAAAATATAATAAAATATATGGACAATAAGACTATTAATACAGCGCGGAAATTGGTGCGCAAATTTCAATAAAATTAACCAATAATGTCTACATAGAATATAAATGTACAATAATTGTCTGTACGATCTTATTTGAACGTTTCGGTTTTCTTCAAACCATCATCAGCAGATTTTGAATGGAAGAATATAAAAATCTTAAACATAAAGAAAGAAAATTAAGTAAGAGACTCATATCGGAAATGCTGAATATTCAGTTGCAATCAAACAATTTGAATTTACAATCAGGTACAGAATTTCTGCACCATTCGTATGTGAGCATTTTGGAAAGATTCAAATACTGACTTTATGTATTCGCTTTTAGCTGATTTTTGCTTTGTTTTTAATTATTGACGTTAGATTAGTTTGACTTATCATAACGTATTATTTTTTACGGACGTGGCTCGCAGAATAAAATTTGGACGGTCATTACTTGTCTGATTCCCGTTGAGATAATATATATTATAATTTGATATCGTATAATGTAAAACTAAGTCTTATATTTCTTATTATCGTTGCTTTATATAACTTGACTTCCTACATTTGGAATTGTGATCTGTGGAGAATGAAGGTGAGTAATACAATATATTGAAAACAACAATGTAATTAATTTCTTTGCATAATTTGTTCTTTAATCAGTCACTTGGCTTTTTAACGAAAAGATAAATTACGGCTATTCCCAACTAGAAAGTAGGGAAATGCTCATCCTCAGTCTTACATAGATTTTAAATTTCAACATTGTCACAAGAATTTTGTCAAGACATCTACGATAAGTATTTATGGATTTGCTGGTAATGGTTTGAAGAAGATTGAACCGTTCAAATAAGATGGTACAGACTATTATTGTACATTTATATTCTATAGATCTAGACATTATTGGTTAATTATATTGAAAATTGTGCATCAATTTCTACTGTGTTAATGCTCTTATTGTCCATATATTAAATTAAAAAAAATTTTTTTTTATAAAATCTAAGTCATCTTAAATTTATTAAATAGCACCATACAATTTTTTCTATAATATTATAGGAGTCAAGACAAATTCAAATTATTATCAAAATTTCGCTTTTTTTTTTTAATGTTTAACTGATTTTATTGATACTTAATATTAAATTTGTAACATTATTTGTAATAGCAGTACTTACAACTTCTGATCAGAGAACATACATATATACGTACATATATGTGTACATACATGTAGTTATTTAATAAAATATGCAATAAAATCAATAAAATATAAAAAAAGTGATATTTCGACTGTGATTTGAATTCATTTTGAAGACTCAACAATATTATGAAAAAAAATTGTATGATGCTATTTAAAAAATTTTAAATTTACTTTGATTTCCATATAAAAAAATTTTTTTTAAATTGTTTTATCGCATGTTATAGCCTATATATAAAACAGATGAATATTCACCTTCAATCTTTTTTTTAACTATCAAAAGTGTCTAAAAAATCATGCAGACCGTTACACGGTCGTGTGTGTGTGTGTGTGTGTGTGTGTGTGTGTGTGTGTGTGTGTGTGTATACATATAATTAATAACGTTGACAGTGAAAGTCACATTACTTTTATATAATCTCAAAATTAACAAACCTAGAATTTTACAAAATTTGACGTAAGGGTATTTTTCTGCAAGAGATATTAAACATCCATTCATGGCTTCGCAGCCAGATACATTATCCTCGTAAATGTGAATGATAATAATTATTGATTTGTCTTCTCCATCAATGGCTTGTAGAAACTGATCTGTGTTCTCCAAATCGATAACTCTTCCAAAATAAAGTTTCTCTGTTTTTGCAAGCATTTCTTTCATTCTTTGTTTCTGATATTCTAGAAGAAATTCATCAGTTAATAAATTTGCCAACTCTGGATCTGTCTCATTCAGTTTTTCTTTTTCTTCATCTAAAGCACTGCGGCACGTTAAACTCAGTTTGTTGATCAATTGTAATCTTTCTTTCTCTTGTGATTCTCGTTTTTCTGCTTCTAACTGTTTATATCGCTGCCAATCCTTCCAAGAAAATATTTTGCATTACATCAAATATTATCTATTTAATATTTAATTGACAATAAAACTTAAATATATATGTGTGTTCAATTTGATGTTTCTAGAGTTTTATATCTTTCTATAATCAAAATTTAATTATAATAAACACTATATACATAAAATACATAATATGGCTCAAGTAATAAAAATTAAAAGAAATAAAATGCTGAAAAAGGCTATGAGCCAAGTACAATAAATTCAGTATTAATGATATATATTGACATAAAAGTTACAAGTGAAAAACGCTACGAGAACAATTTTTTTTATTACATCAAATATAAATTCGTATCTTATTCTGTTTATTGTTTTTATAATCAACCGTTAATAATTTTTATTATATTTATATTTAATTAATTACATGTTTAACATTGATAATGATCCAATTGGAGTCGAAATGTTTATTCTTGTAACACTTTTCACTTGTAACTTTTATGTCAAAATATATCATTAATACTAAATTTATTGTACTTGGGTCTTAATCCTTTTCAATATTATTTCTTTGAACTATATATATATATGTATATACCTTTATAACACCTTTAGGTCCTGTGTTACTGGAAGTTCCATCCCATTCTGAATATGAAGGTGCAATATATTGTGCAGTATTGTCAGTATATTTGACATCATCACATTCTTTATCGGAATCTCCAGAATCATTTCCGTCATCTTCGCTGGAACTGCTGCAGTAGTAGTGTAATTTTTCTCCCAAAATTTTATCCTCCAATGTTGACATGATGTTGGAATTTTAAACTTTGTACAAAATAATATATTAAATATGTAACAGAAACTTATTTGAACTTTTGACTATTTTTGAATACAAAATTAATAGATTTGCAAAATATTTTGTGATTGAAAATATAATCAGATGGATTTTTTAACTTAATATTTATAATTTAAAATTCAAGAAATACATTTTTAAAAACATAAACTAATAATCAATAAATGATTCTAAAGAATTTTATTATATCTTATAAGTCGTTCAATGGAAATTCTCAAATTTTTTTCTCCTATGCATCAATAATAAATTTTTTATTACACATTACATGTATATTTATGTTTTACAAATAAAATAAAAAGACATCTTTATTTTTCAATAGTTTAGAAACTCATTGACGCACCTATAAAGACGCACATAAAGAATCGAAACTTAAAGAAGAGCTGTATGTATTTATAAATATGAATAAAGCATGATGGAAATAGTGTTGCAAGATTCGTGGATCCTCTTCACGGAGTAATAAGAACAAACTCAAGCAACCGGTCACGAAAAAAGTGGACTCGAAACACGGTATAGAAAAATCCATGGAAAATCCGGTAGATGTGATTTTAGTGTCATCACGCCTTGTGGAAAAAGTTAGAAGTATTGACTGTCACGTGGTCACTGGTCACACATACGTATGTATGCGTTTATGTATTTAGTAGATATACATCTAAAGGTGCTTTTTCATGGGCATTAGTTGACGCGTGTCAAGACAATTTTGTGATGTCTGTTAGTTTTAGTGTTGACGCCCAGATGTTAAAGTTTTCCAACTTCTAAGCGTCGCGCGCGAAAGAACTGTTTTTTAAAAAGAAGCAAAATAGATTAAGTTTAATATTTATTAGGCTTAGTAAATTAATCAATTATATTTTACAGTAAAATTATTTATACATTTTCAATATACAATAAATGTATTGAAGAAATAAATTTAATTTCAGCAAGTTTTAGTAAATATTATACTTGTAAAGTTTGCAAAACTACTACTACTACTATAAATGAGGCTGACATAGGCCTAGTTTCCACCAAGGATTTAATCCAGATCAGAATGTAAAAACCAATTACAGTCAAGCATTCCTCTGTCGTTCGATTGTAACAGGGGAATACTCGATTGTAGTTGGTCGGTTCTTACATTCTGATTTGGATTAAACCTTTGGTGGAAACTAGGCCATAATTAATCACAACTGCGTGGCAGAGTATCTAAATATTCTTGTGCATAATAATTCAAGATATTTTTATCCACAATGTGGTAAGAGTTTATTTATTTAAAAGTATTGATTTTATAAAACTCTTGATTTTAACATTAGAATTATATATTGAATAAAATTTCTTAAATAAAATTTCTTAATTTTATAATGTTTGCACATTCTACCATCCACAAGTAATATTTTATTAATGATGACATTTTTTTCGAAAATTGCAACAAATCAATATGAATATAACCTATTTCTCCACGCGAATTATAAAAATATAACGCATGAAACCTTTTTCATTCGTGCGTCAAATATCGATGTCATTTATAATAATTTAATCTTACCCTTATCTGATTTTAAGTGTCACTGACGCTCATGAAAAAGCATCTTAAGGGTACAGTCAACGCGATGTTACAAATTTTTTAATGCAATTTTTGATTGGTCAATTTGTAAAATTCTTTTTCTCTAATTGATCAATCAAACGCTTCAAAGCATTTGTAATGAGACTTTGACCGTAGCCTATACAAAGTTAGAAGTATTGACTGTCACGTGGTCACAGGTCACATACGTGTTATCAGGGAGGTTTCTTTCTGATGTGATCTGTGACTACGTGACAGTCAATAATTCTAATTTTTTCCGGCAAGGTGCGATGACACTAAAATCACATCTGCCGAATTTTCCATAAGTTTTCCAATACCGTGTTTCGATCTCATTTTTAGACCTCAAATTTGATCTTCTTCTTATTAAACCCAAGACACAATGCGAGGGAATAGCGATAGCGATAGAAATAACACGATTTCAACCTATCAGCAATTGTATATTCCGATATATCCGATTTCTGATTGATTGAAATCATGTTATTCCAATCGCTATCGCGAGTCCCTTACATTGTGTCTTAGACTTTACTCCGTAGATTTCTTTTTCTTGTTTGGCCGTGTTCTAAAATTCACTGCTAGCGCTGAAAATCTACAGTTTACCATCATGGTGGAAACTTTGGGTGCTTTCCAATTGTTTAACACATCTTGGTATTAATCATGAAATTTTATCCCTAGGAAAGTAAAAAGTGAAAAATTTTAACCATTGAAGAAAATGGAGAAATTTTTCACTTTTTATCCTAGAAAAAAAGTTTCATGATTGATATCCTAAACATAGAACTTCCAACAGTTGCAAAATAAAGCAGAGGGCACAGACTCTTGTATAATGTATAACACGTAATGCATAAGAAAATGTACCAATCGAAATTCTTCATTTTCTTTCTTTCCATTAAATAAAGAACTCTGATTGGTTCAATTTCTTATGCTTTGTGTGTTATATGTTATGTAAGAGTCTGTGCTCTCCGCTTTATTTTGCAACTGTTGGAAGTTCTTCGCGCTGAACGCAGCCATTCTGTTCCAATTGAATCGTGCACAATGCTACATTTTTATGCACTTCCTCTCCAAAGAAAATTTTATTCGAAATATATACACGTAACGTATACTATAGCATATAGAGTAAAATCTTTCTCGGAGAAAAAGTTTTGGATAGAGTAAAGTTTAAAATCAACAATAAACGTAATTGAAAGTGATTGTAGTTGTACAATAACAATGCATTAATCACAATCGGATATTA